TGCACTCCCACCAGCATTGAATGAAGAGTTCGTATTTACATATCCTCACTAAACATTTGGTTTTGTCAGTGTTTTAGATTTTGCCATTCTAATAGGAGTTTAGTGGTATCTTATTGTTGTTTTAATTTGCAATTCCTTAGTGACATATGATGTTGGATATCTTTTTTTTTAAGATTTTATTTATTCATGAGACACAGAGAGAGAGAGAGAGAGAGAGAGAGAGAGAGAGAGAGAGAGAGAGGCAGAGACACAGGCAGAGGGAGAAGCAGGCTCCATGCAGAGAGCCTGATGTGGGACTCGATCCCGGGACTCCAGGATCACACCCTGGGCCTAAGGCAGGTGCTAAACCGCTGAGCCACCCAGGGATCCTCTGGATATCTTTTCATGTGCTCATCTGCCACCTGTATATCTACCGTGGTGCGGTGTCTGTTCCATTCTTTCGCCTAATTTTTAATTGCATTATTTGTGCTCCTGAGTTTTAGTTCTTTGTATGCTTTGGACATAAGCCCTTTGTCAGACCCGTTCTGCAAATATTTTCTCTTAATCTGTGGCTTTTCATTCTCTTAATGCCCTTCATAGAACAAAAGTTTTTAAACTTTCACGGATCAGGGAAGCCCTAGTGGCTCAGCAGTTCAGCGTCGCCTTCAGCCCAGGGTGTGATCCTGGAGTCCCAGAATCGAGTCCCACATCGGGCTCCCTGCATGGAACCTGCTTCTCCCTCAGCCTGTGTCTCTGCCTCTCTCTCTCTCTCTCTCTCTCTGTGTCTCTCATGAATAAATAAAATCTTTTTAAAAAATGAAAAGAAAAAAAAAAACCTTTCACGGATATTTTTGACGTATCTAAAAAGTCATCACCAAACCCAAGATCATCTTAGTTTTCTCCTGTTATGTTTTTTAAGTTTTATATCTTACATTCAAGTCTGTGATCCATTTTGAGCTTTTTTTTTTAAAGATGTATTTATTTATTTATTATTTATGATAGACACACACAGAGAAAAAGAGAGAAGCAGAGACACAGGAGGAGGGAGAAGCAGGCTCCATGCCGGGAGCCTGATGTGGGACTCGATCCCGGGACTCCAGGATAGCGCCCTGGGCCAAAGGCAGGCGCCAAACCACTGAGCCACCCAGGGATCCCCCTTGAGCTGTTTTTTTATTAAAGGTATAAAATCTGTGTCTAGATTTATTATTATTATTTGCAAGTGGATGTCTAGCTATTTTAGCACCATTTGTTGAAAAGATTATTCTTCCTCCACTGAATTGCTTTTGTTCCTTTGTCAAAGATTGACTATACTTGTGGGTGTATTTCTGGGCTCTCCAGTCTGTTCTATTGATCTATCTGTTTATTGTTTTGCCAGTCACACTGTCTTAATTATTATAGGTTGACAAGTCTTGAAGTTGGGTAGTACCAGTCCTTCGATTTCCTTCTCCTCAGTATTGTGTTGGCTATTCTGAGTCTTTTACCTTTCCGTACAGGATCACTTAGTCTATATCTACTAAATAACTTTCTGGGATTTTGACTGGGGTTGTGTTGAATCTACAGATCAAACTGGGAAGAAGTGACATCTTAACAATACTGAATGTCTATCCATTTATTTAAATCTTTCTCTTATCAGAGTTTTATAGTTTTTCTCATACAGATCCTTTATGTATTGTGTTAGATTTATTAAGTGCCTCATTTTTGGAGATGCTAATATAAATAGTATTGCTTTTTAAATTTCAAATTTCAATTGTTCCTTGCTGATATTAAGTAACTTTTATATATTTACTCTGGATCCTGTGACCATGCTATAATCATTTATGAGTTCTAGGAATCTGTCAATTTTGAGGATTTTATACATAATCAGAGTATTTATGAATAAAGACAGTAGTGTTCCTTTTCCCCCCAATCTGTATGCCTTCTGTTTTCTTTTTTTTTTTTTTTTTGCCTTCTGTTTTCTTGTCTTAACTGCATTAACTAGGTTTCCCAGTACAATGTTGACTAGGAATGGTTAGAGAGAAATCTTTGTCTTGTTCCTGTTCTTAGGGAGAAAGCATCTAGTTTCTCATCAAGTTTGGTATTAGCTATAGGGTTTCTGTCGATGTTCTTTATCAAACTGAGGGAGCTCCCCTTTATTCCTAGTTTGTGATGGGTTCGTGAATAGGTATTGGACTTTGTCAAATGCTTTTTCTCCATCCACAGATATGTTCATATGATTTTTCTTCTTTAGCCTGTTGATGTAATGGATTACATTAACTACTTGTCCAGTGTTGCACCAGCCTTGCATATGTGGAATAAAATCCCCCTTGTCTGTGGTATATAATTCTTTTTATACATCATTGGATTCAATTTGCTAATATCTTATTGAGTTTTCCATCTGTGTTCTGAGTTCCATTGGTCTGTGATGTCTTTTTAAAGTAGCAATAGGCTGAGAAATCTCAGAGCCATCAGTTAGTTACATGTAAGTAGTAATCAGTTTAATTCGATTATTATTCTTCTGAAACCTAAACAACAACTTCAATGAGGCAGAAGCAAAGACATTACTGCTCAGAGGGAAAACATGAAACACTCAGGAATCGAGGCAGGCATCAGCCAGTTGTAGCAGCTCAAAAGCATGAAAAGATATAGTTTATACTACTTTCCTTATTTTTTTAAGATTATTTATTTATTCATGAGAGATGAGAGAGAGGCAGAGACACAGGCAGAAGGAGAAGCAGGCTCCCATGCAGGGAGCCTGACGTGGGACTCGAGCCTGGGTCTCCAGGATCAGGCCCCAGGCCAAAGGCAAATGCTCAACCGCTGAGCCACCCAGGCATCCCTATTTTCCTTATTTTGAAGCTGTGAATCAGAGGAGGGGGAAGCAAAGATCAATCCAGGAAGATGAGGGATAAGATATCTAAGTGCCTGAAAGAAATCATTTTCTTTAATAGGTTTTGTGAGATACAACAGCCTAGTCTGACTTTTAACTTAAAAGTAATGGGGGTCTAAGCTCCCAGTTCCACATGTGGACAGTCTTCTGAGTCAGGGATGGTAAGTCTCTGCAACACAAAAACTTCTCTCTACTCAGATATGCTCCCTCCCCTTATTTATTAATTTGGTAATTTCAAACAACCTGAGAATTTTTTTAACCACAAAAAACCATCTTCACAATTTTTGCCAACTCCAAATACTAATTATACCATTACTTACTTAATAAATTACATAAAGTTGACTTTTTATCAAAATTAATTTTAAAAGGAAAATTTTATATCTCTATCATTAATCTTACCAAATACAGATACTACACATTAACATACACTAAATATACAACTCTTAAATTAAAAATGTTTCTTCCTCTACCACTTAAAGTCATCCATTGTATAACTAGTGGTAAATATGCCCCATACTTGGAAAATACTCATCAAATCCAGCCTTCTTCATTTTATAAGTAATGATATTGAGGACTAGAGAGTAAAGTGAGCTATTCAAGGTCACAGAGCTAATCAGGAGCTGAGATGGAGCCAACCCTCTCTCTTTCCTCCACAAAAACCATCTCTTCACACACCTATACTACTGATTTCTCCACTACATCAAGTTAAAAAAAAAAAAAAAAAAAAGGAAGAGGCTATCCTATTTATTAACTTTTCCAATCAGCTTTCTCCAAATTGCTTTTTCTTTTTGGCAGGTTGTCTAACTGGCTCAAAACTGAACTCCTGCTGGAATAAAGCTGACCTGGCTAGGGAATAGGGACAGGAACACCAAAGGACAGTAGCCAGCTGTCCTAGGTCTCAAAGGGAAGAGGGGCTTTAACTGGGGGTTTAAGAGGTTTGAAAAACGAAACTGAAAAATCCTGAGAAGCTCTGCCTACCTACTCAAAGGGACAGCTTAACTGCCTGGAACCTGTGATTTCCTCTGTTATTGGCTTCAAACAGCTGAGGACATTCAGAGGTTACTCAGAATGGTACTAAGTGTTCCCCAAACTAACAAGCAATTTTTTTTTCTTTTAATTTTTATTTATTTATGAAAGTCACAGAGAGAGAAAGAGAGAGAGGCAGAGACATAGGCAGAGGGAGAAGCAGGCTCCACGCACCGGGAGCCCGACGTGGGATTCGATCCCGGGTCTCCAGGATCGCGCCCTGGGCCAAAGGCAGGCGCCAAACCACTGCACCACCCAGGGATCCCACTAACAAGCAATTTTAAAAAAGAATACAAAAAATAAATAAATAAATAAATAAATAAATAAATAAATAAATAAATAAAGAATACAAGGTATGCTAAGTGGGTTTTTATGAATGGTATTCTGAGCTTAATGCTGACCAAAAATAGAGAACATGTGGAAGTATCAGGAAAAAAAAAAAATCTTCAGAGAAAGTGAGTACAAACAAATGTAAAGAAAACTATCCAGTCTGAAACGTGCTTAACTTTAAGAAAGAAAGAGAAAAAGTTAGTATATTCTGACAGCCACGGTCTCTGGAAAAAATTCTACTGGAAAACAAAGTAGTTGGCAATATCTGAAAACAATAATGGTTTCAGGTAGTCACCAACAAAAAGGAAAAAGAACAGATAACAAAGTGGAAATACACAGAACTGGGACAAAAACCTGCCTTTAAATGCCTTCTTTCTTCCATTCCTTTCTGTCCACTAGGATCCTTTTAGATCCAGCTCACCCCTCCTCCACAAAGCCTCTTTCTCCTATCCTTACACTGACTATTCCTCTTTCAAACTCTACGTACTTGGCAATTATTCATGTGCTGCTTTGCCCCCTCCCAATTCAATCTGGGCTCTGTGTTGTGCTCATGTCAGAAATATCTTGGTGTCCCCAGAGTACCTATAAACAGAGCCTCCTGCAGAGCAAACAGTAAATAAATAAGTGCTAATTGAGTCAAAGAAGCCAACTAGAAATCACTGTTCTTAGAGGAAGAGGAGACTAGGGTAGTTTGAGCACACACCGTAAATTGTACTATACCCAAATCAATTCAAATCAATTGAGTAACAAGTAGAATCAACAGGCATAGTCACTTGAAATTGCAAAAACAGCACAGTACCTGCAAAACACTTTCTATGGCATGAAAACCTCGAATTAAATTCAGAGCTCCACATAAAAGACTGAGGATAAAAGCCACAATCCCTGACAGAGTTGCTGGTTCCAGTCGCAGGTGAGCTGGAAAATAAAAGAAATGGTTAGAAATGAGTATCACTATCTTACGTCAATACCTAAAATTATGTAAAATGAAATTCACTGCTTAATTTAAATGGGTCAAACACGGATTAATCTTCATAAAGCTATTTATTAATATATTAAGAACAATTTTTTTAAAATGCAAAACGATGACATGTCAGCTTCACTGCCCTGAACTCAAGCTCAATTAACTTCTTTTTCTCTACATTTTTAACAAAGACATCTCACTTGCACTTGGGGTACAGAGTGCTCACATCTGGCAGTAAGTCATGTAGAAAAAAACCTTACTGCTTAAATAGGTCTACCATTTGCAAGGAGTTGCAAATATAAGCAAAGGTGACTTTGCCTGAAAAATCATTGCATAATTCCTACTTTTTCTGAAAAATGCTTAGGTAACACTTTTAAGGACAAACATAGCTTGCTTTTTTTTTTTTTTTTTTAAGCAAAACTCCCTTATTTGGGTTCCAGGGCTATAAATACCATGGGATATATGTGAAAGCTTCTATATAATCACCAATCTGAACTTTACAATAGAAGAGTCGTATGGCTATGAAGTTCCTGATCTCTGAAGACCACCTGAAGAACACTACAAATGATAAAACACTAGCTGAAGAAGTGACCACTTCATCTTCACGAATGGATTCTGTTATCTGTGGGCTTCACTGGGGTAAGATATTTAGTTATGCAACAGTTTCACTTTATCATCATCTTGGGCTAAACAGAATTAACAACTGAGTCTAAATGAAAATACAAAATGAAATAATCATCTAGACCTCAAAAAGAGACAGAGGGAAAGAGGGGGCAACAGAACCACAGTTAGATCATTTTATTTAAATCGCTGAAGTGTAAAAGCCCTAACAATGAAGTTAATGAGGTAGAACATTAATATAAGGAAAGGCTTAAATCTCTGCAACTTATATTCAGCCATTACAGCAGAAAAGCTTCCCTAAATAATTACAGAAACACAAAACCCTACATATCATAAAAAAGTATTTGTTCTTCAAGTTCAGAAGAAAATGCTAAGATGGGATAATATTTTCTTAAATTTCTTCTGTGCCCAAGCTGATTACTTGGTCTCTCAATTTCCTTGAGGTTTTAATATGAAAACAAAAATTTAAATATCTTTGTAAAGTATTAATACCAAATTTTTAATCAGTAGAAAAAAACCTTCACAATCTATCCAACTAGTCTAGTAATTAGTTGTGTTTTGTATCCCCTGTCCATCCCTCCCCACACGCTCTCAGTAGTAGGGAAAAACTGGCCTCTAATAAAAAAGGAATCCTTAATACGGGCCTCAAGGATAAAACTACCTGACAACTGAACAGATTACATAAATCATACTTCTAAAGTATACAAGTTTATCTTATGAAAAAGCCCAAATAACATTCTGTATTATAACTAAAGAAAACAATCTTAGCTGTTTATGGACAAGTATGGCCATTCTGAATGGAAAAATATTACCATTTTAAGGTGTTGACCAATGCCTATTTAAGAAATAAATGACTATATTAAATATTAAGTTTCTAATATTTATCTCTTGGCCTTGGAACACTCTCTTTATAATTAATTATAGTATACCACTTACTATTTACTATTAAAATTATTTCAAAATGACCCAAAATATTTTTAAAAGCATGAAAGCAAATGACAAGCCTCTTTTAACAAAGACAAGGCATGTATTATGCTGAAGAACAGGATGGAGCTGTGCCAAATCACTGTGGGAAAGAAATTCTCAAGTAAAGATTCACCCACTCCCACCCTATCTTCTTCCCTAGGACCTGTGGGAATGGTTACCAAGAGAAAACTCCATCTGCATACAACATGAGGGTGACACTCCCTAAGGACAATTTCTCATGTTAGCAACTGAACAAGATATTTAAATCACATTTTAATGTATTATGCGATATCTCTTTTCTATTTTAGTAAAACATATTTTAGATTCATTGTTATCCACAAATGCTCACTTCACACTTCAATTTGGCACCATGGTAGGTACTAGTAGGTATAGAGTGGATTTGGAAAAATAATAAATGAGAGGCAATTTTTTTTTAGGAAGAAAAAAAGTTACTGAATTCCAAGTAGTGTCATCTGGTCAGTTGTTGTTTTGTTTTTGCTATAACTGTCTTTTGCTACAATGCCTTTTCCTTAATTACTCTCCTTGAGCCCAATAATGGGTCATGACAAAATTAAGCTTTTTATGAGCCAATGATTAATGAAGTTTACAAAAGCTCCTAAGAAGAGTAAACCTCTTGGAACCAAAGTGTTATTGCTTATAGGGAATTAATATACTCACTTAGCAAATACTTTTTAGCATGATTCTGTGTAAAATATTGTGCTTCAGAAAATACAAAGAATTATTTGCACAATCTGCTCTCAAGATACTTCTAGTCTTTTGAAGGGAAACAGACAGATAAGCATTCTAAACTAAAATAGTTAAGGAATTCTGAAGAAGAAAGAAGAAAGGTAATTAGGGGGAAGGTGGTGATACAGGAGTGGTAAGAAAACCAGGGAAGATATTTAAAGATGGGTTAAAATTTAGATAGGTAAAAATTGGAAAAACTACATTTCATACATTTCATGTAGAGAAAAGAATGTGAGCCTGGAGGTAGAAATGAGATGCAAATATTAAGAGCATAAACAACAACTACTACTACTACCTCCGCTAATCCTACTAATAGTGGCTGTTCTCAATGTACCAGGCACAAGGGCTTATATATACATGATCTCGTTTCACCCTTCCAAGAACCCAGTGCAGTAGGCACTATAATTATCCCTATCTTTTCAAATGAAACTAAGGCATAGAGAAACTAAGTAATTTGTCCAAAGTAAATGAACTAGGATTTAAACCCAGGTAGCCTGACACTAGAACTCATATTCTTAACCACTTTCCCACTGGACATTAATATTGGTTTTGTTTGGCTTAAAAGGATGTTTATGAAGAGTAGGAAGAAATAAGGTCAGGAATGGGAGTTGAAGCAAATTAACAAACAGTTGGAAATACTAGGCTAAAAATTATGAACAAGTTAGTGGAGAAACACTGAAAAGCAAGAGACCAATATGATTAAAGCTATGCTTAAGGAATATTAAGGTTTTAAAGAGATTAAAAGCAGGAAGACAATATTTTCTCAGTGCTTTCTTCATAGGTACACTTTGTCCCATTTATCCCTCAAAATGTGGTACTTCATAAGGCAGGAATGACTAACTTCTCAGTGTCTGAATTTTTTCATCTGTAAATGGAGGTTAAATAATCTGCTATAAATCAGACAGCTAGTAAGTGCCATCTTCACAATTAGCACTTGGGTCTAACAAGAGTGCGAAGCCCATGCTCTTTCTACAAATCTACCTTAGAGAATTCATTAGGGAGTCATTGCAAAAGACTGGCTGATATGAGGGCCTGAATTAGGATAGTGACAGCAGGAATGAAGAGGTGAGTGATATTACAGGGGTTAAAACTAGCAGACCTGGCAATTAACTAGGAAACAAAAATGAAAAAAAATTAAAGAAAATGTCAAGGTTTTAAGTGTGGATGACTGGAAAGATAAGGGTGCTGCCAGCAAAGCCATTGGAAGAAACTCAGGTTTGATTAAAAAAAAAAATGGAGACATTTTAAAGATATCAAACTTGCAGTGATAATGAGGCATGTTTAATAAGCAATGAAAGAATGGTAGAGTGAGAGCTGGAGAAACAGAAAGGTTTGCATCTGAAAGGAAGGGTTGGGATGGGATAACTAGGGAAAGAACTTTTGCAAATCGTTGGCAAACACTACCTTTAAAGGGAGGACAAGGATTCAGGAAGACAGATTTAGGAGAATAAGAAGAGGAAAGAGCCTCAGAAGCCTAGGAAGGGGAGACCATCCGTAAAAAAGATATGGGTAACAATGCCTGTGCACAGGCCAAAGACAGTCTGAACTCGGAAAAAAAAAAAAAGATTATTAGATATATTGCTAAGGGATGGTTGCTGACTTGTTATAAAACAGTTTCAGAAGAGTGCCTGAAGGCAAAATTCAACCTGCAAGAGGCTAAAAACTGTTGACGGTAAGAGAGAGAAGCAGTGCAATAACACTACCACAGTTAAAGAAAACCAGGATGACAGCCTGACAGACTAGGACCGAGAGAAATAATTATTTTTCCCCTGTCATGTGGTGGAGGAGGGGAGACTTGAATACATTTATAGGTGGAATGAAAAAATTCAATGAAGAGGAAATAGAAGAGTCAAGAGAAAGGCAAATGGCGAAAGAGAATACCAGAACAGTCATTGCGAAGATGCAAAATGAGGGTACCATTCTAACCTTCAAAGCATATCATAATACCACACAGTACCAATGCTTTGAGCAAAAACAAAATTCTGGAGGTACAGACATTCAATGATGCCCCAAATATCTGGAGAAACAGATTTTGGAACATATAAGAGAAATTTCTGGTCAGTTCCATCTAAATGAACATAATTTGTTACTAAATTATGACTGAATGAGACTAATTGTATGATACTAAAAACCTACTTTTTTTTTTTTTTCAAACACTGAGGCCCTTTCTTAGATCATCACCTGTCAAAAGCTTGTATGTCCTTTTAAGGCCATGGGGCCTAAAAATGGTACTTTTTATTTATCTCTTTTGGAACATGTATCACATTCTGTCTTGTATTTTACTTACTGAGGTGTGTGTGTATTTGAGAGAGACAGAGATTAGGAAATTTATTTGCCTTGTGGGGCAACTGCCAAATAGAGTACCATTCTCAGTCAACTGAGAAACTGTCTATAAAATTACACAGGTGGAAAAAAGACTATAACCTAGTGTTTATCCTAAAAATAAAGGTGTCAAAGAAAACAGAAAAATGTATTTTATTTAGAGTTTTGTGAAACTTTTTTAAAAAAATAAAAGCAGAATATAAAATTAAAAAGATCAACAACACTAAATGTTGATGAGAACATAGAAGAAACTCTCACACATTGCTTGTGGAAATGTAAAATGGTACAACTACTTTAG